AATATGCCCGCTGATGCAAGAATAATCAGCATTAACAGCTTCAACAACACATTTAGGGGGGAAATAAAGGAAAAGAGAGCCATTCCGAACACAGTGATACAGCCGGTGGCCAGTGATTGGCGCTGACACCAAGGGTAAATAGTGTTTAGGTGCGATTCGAATGCTACCTCCATTCAGCACATTAGGCATGTGTTCGAGCTCGAAATTCAAGCGGAAAACTGCATTACACGCTTACCTTGTGAACCACAACTTTTTGTTTAAAAAAGAATTCATCCGCAATATTTCATACGATGCTCGCGATGCAGTATATTGTAGTGAAGGTTGATGGTAGTTCGTCCTTAGGCGCATTCGTAAACAGGCACGACAAGGGAGACCGGTCTGGCCATTTCTCGGTTATTAGCCGTCATCAGCTCGTCCAACCCAGGCCCAAGTGGTCTCCCACCCGAGCCTTGAACACGGCCTTTTAGATCAGAGTCAAGCGCCCTAACCTTTGAGCTACTAGCTCATTGTCTTGCCGCTATAGGTTGGGGGATATTGACACTCGTTGATGAATGTTTACCCGACCGATAACGGAACTCATCTGTCGCGAACAGCCTTGGGCCTCGCCAGCAGTCCTGACAGCCGTAACAGTTGGCAGTGTAGACAGATAATATTGCCGGCAATGCAAGCTAGATTGGTCATTTCTGGCTTATTGGCGGCCGTCAGCCAGTCATACCCAGACCTAAGTAGTGTCAGCGACTTCAGCTTGTATGCGAGTTATGGCAAGCCTATTCTGGTACCGTCTCGCTCGCCCAACTCTCCGTCGCATATTTAAACTTGTCTTTTTTTCCTTTTCCCAGTGAAACCAGCCGACTCAGCTTCCAACTGGAGAAGGCCACTGAGGAGAATAAACGCCTGCGCGAACAGCTGGAATCCACGTCCAGTCGGCTGGACACTCTGGAGAAGGAGCAGGCGAAACGCGACCAGGCCAAACAGGACCTGCGTGGCCTGGAGGAGACCATTGTCAAGGAGCTGAACAGTCTGACGACACTCCGGCGTCTGTTTGTGCAGGATTTGCGGAACCGGGTCAAAAAGGTGTGTGCTGCTTTGTGCATCGTATTATCATAACTTCTTTACCAACTTGTTAGGCCTTATATTACTTATTTACCCCAAAATCGAAAGGAAACCTTGGCCGATATTCCAAGATATGCTCGTTATTGCACAATTTTTTTCGAAATAGATCCCAAGAAAATAGT